ATTTCAGGCATGATTATTGGAAGAGATCTTACATAGTTAATCTGGTTGATAAAAGACACAAGTTCATCCAGTTCAACCAACAGAGAAAAAAAACACACCCAAGTGAAAAAACCTCCATATACACTATCCTATACCCACAATTGATCCAGAGGAAAGCAAAAAAATAACAGTAAAGCAATCCAATTTGTTCCAGCAGGGGAAAAAAATTCTTCCTGATCCCCCAAGAGGCAATCAGATATTCCCTGGATCAACTTTACCTATAAATATTAGAATTCAGTTATATAATGTGCATTTAGGAAATAATCCAGGCCTTTTTTTAAACAATCTACTGAGCTGGCCAGAACCAGCTGAGGGAGTCTATTCCACATTTTCACAGCAATCACTGTGAAGAAGCCTTTCTGTATTTGGAGAATAAATCATATCACCCCCCCCCCTTAATCTCCTCTTTCAAGAGAGAAAATATAAATTCAGTTCAGTTAATCTTTCCTCAAAGCTGAGCTTCTACATGCCTCTTACCAGTTTGGTTGCCCTTCCCTGCCCTTTCTCCAGTTTCCCAATATACTTTTTGTGAACTGGTGCCCAAAACTGAACTGCATATTCTAGATGAGGTATAACTAATTTTAGTGCCCCTCTAGATAGCCAGGGGGAGCTAGTTACTCATTGTTAGATAGAATTGCTGAGTAGCATCCTGGGGAAATAATCAGCAGGGTCAACTTTGGGTCAGGGCTGAGAGGCTCTGCAGGTCAGTTCCTTGATACCTCCCCCTGCTCTAGGATCTTGGCGAAGATTCTAAAAGCAGTGAGCGGGAGTGAGGAGGGGCTGGCCTGCACACTTAGAGAACTCTGAACAATCCCCAAGCAGAAGGCTTGGCATGGTGCCAGGTCAGCCTTTAAGTGTGACTGAGTCTGCTCAGCAGCAGGAGATTTCAGGTAGAAGTGAGGAAGGCTGAGATGCAGGAACCTGGGAGGAGGCCCAGTGGGAAGGAGCCTACCTACAGGCCGGAACCTGGAAAGGAGGATCACTCAGCCTCACCAGTCCCCAGAGGGAGGACTACCTGTGGAGCCAGGAAAGGAGCCAGCCCAGTGGAGGGCCTGAAGGCAGCCACCTACGTAAACCACCTCACAGGAAAGAGACAGAGTGATTAACCCTACATTCCTTGGGCCAGTTAAGGGGAAAAAGAGCAATCTGCATATGCTATGCTTGATAAAGGAGCACGCCGGTCCTCCGATCCTACGCATGCTCATGATGTCACACGCCATCGCCACTGCTCAGGAGTGCAGGGAAAATTGCCAAGCTTTCCCTTCCAGGCTCCATCTCACAGTGCTTCAGCGCTCCCTGCTGTCCAGCTGAAGTCCTAACAGACTTTCCAGGCTCACACCACAGGCCCCTCTGACATCTTTCCAGTGCTCCCGCTGTCCAGCTGGCACTCTTGTTCTCTGGTCCAGATCATCACGTGGCGTTGTGCCTTGTTAACCCCTTATGAGCCTTATCTTTACCATCTACATGTGAGTGGTTTTAATCATGTTCACCATTAAATACTTTTAACAGTCTATACTCAGAGGCATTGTTTTCCTCTTTTTACCTACTCCAGAGTCACTTGCTTCACTCTACAACAGCTTGCCAGGTGTTTCCAGACTGTTTGTTCCCCTGCCAGCTCCTCAGCCCACACTCAGCCTATAGAGTATGCGGACTGCATATTCCTTGCGCCTGTTACTGCTTTTTTATTCACATTTTATTTTTAGCCTTAAACATATTGCTCATGGGAATATATTTTGCAGCATCTAAAAAATATAATCCAGTTTTCCCTGTGGGCGCTTTAGCAAACACTATCCTAGACAAATGACATATAGCAAACTTGACTGATATCAGCAGTGGTCCTCTTTCATTTTCTTATAGTATCTCTTATGACAAACCCTAATGGTCAAAAATTTGCCAGTTACATGTGTGAACAGGAAATTACTAAAGTATATAAAATACACCCAATATTCTTGGTGTAAATGAATTAGCATGTACTATCATTGACACCATTACCAATCCATTCAGATGATTTGATTGTAATGGACAATAGAATACGTGAACATGGCATCTTTGCCTTATTTCTCTTCCTTGAGTTATAAAAAGCATTGGATCAAAGTAATATCCAAAATCCAATCCAAGTGTAGGCCGTTGCCAAAATAACTACACCAAGCAAGGCAATATCTTTATTTAATTAAACAGACTTGGAATCAAAGCATATAACAATTGTGTTTAATAGGAACTTTGTGTCAGTCAGAGGTAAACTGTTAGCACCCAATTAGCATAACATAGTCAAAATAAAAAATGAGAAAAAAATACAGAATTTAACGTGATATAAAATCAAAAAGTGCAGCGCTGAAATAAAAATAAGCAACATACAATCAAATATCTAGCATTTAAGCATACCATACATGTGAAAAAATGTGAAAAAAAGGGCCCGTACTTGCAATGACATCATCATGAACAGCGGCTGCTGGCCAGAATGGTTGGAATTGTTTTATGCCCCATCTTTAGTTTTAATGCAAGGTAACAAGAATTATTATTGTAAATGCGGTACTTATTTAAAATAAAGGTGTTTAATGTATTTGCTACACTATTAGGCTTGGCTTCTCTTTTTGTCTCCCTGTTCTGTGAGTGGAATCGGGTTGCAGTTTGCAGCTCCCCCTGCCTTCTGGTATGTAGGGATTTTGTCCCACAGGTGCTTATGGCTACAGAGAGTCATGGGTTTCTGGTAAGGAGCATAGGTTTCTTTCCTCTGTTCCCATGGCATCCTTTTGCAATACCTGCAGGTGGAATGTTGCACAGAGCAGTGTTTTTGAAATTGATCACAGATTGTCCTGTGTATGGCTTGGTGAATGTCGGTTGATTATTATACATTAAAGTCATGACAACAAACAAAGATTGAAAGGAGCGTGGGGGCTCTTAACTGACTTGGTTAGTTAATTGGCTTTAGGTGAGTGGTCCTATCTCTCATTCCTTCTTAAATAATATCCTGATACCCACCCCAGAGGCAGCTCAGCTAGTGATAGCCCATTTTCCACATCTTATAACAGTGGTTACTAGGAACCACATATTATCCTGTCTAGGGCTGCCGATAGGGGGGTACCACTGGATCCCCCATAGGTGGCCTGAACAGCAGGGGGATCAGTTGGCACTGCAATTAAAGAACGATGCCCTGTGTCTGTATCTTTCCCTGTAATGGCTGAAAGCTGCTGAAGGGAGAGACACAGCCACAGGGCATCATTCTTTAATTGCCCCACCGCTCCGATCCCCCTCCTTGTTCTACTGACATCTAATTTCCCCGTGTGTGTGTCCCCTGGCTTGAGCCCTGGGTACCGACACCACTTGCCAGCCATGATTCATTGCACACTGTTGCTGCATAAGGGGGGCAATGCAGGGATTGTGCGCTTCAAAAAAAAAAACCTGCGAGGGCAGCTGCTGAGTAGAACCATGTCAGCTTCTATAAAGTGGACAAATGGGACCCTGAGAGGGGTTTGTAATCGACGGTGAAAGCTCTGAATGCAGGATCAGTAGGGGGCCCCATGAGATGCCCCTGGTGCCTTTTTCATAGGCTTTTTTGAGTTTGGGCAAGGACACAGGGGCCCCATGATCCCCTATTGCCTGGGGGCCCCATGAGTTGTCAGTCCGCCCCTGGTGAGAGCTGTGTATGGGGGAGTGCAATAGATAGATTGGGGTGAGAACTGTGGATGGGGGCATTCTAGGTGCAGAGGATTGAGAGCTTGGGACGGGGGGTGTGCTTGGTGGATAGGAGTGAGAGCTGTGAGTGGTGGGATATTCTAGGTGCAGAGAGGTGAGAACTGTGGATAGGGAGGGTATTCTAGGTGTCTGCTAATAATGATGTTCATGTATTTTAAGCAAAAACATCATTTTTATCTTTTTTATTTTTTTTTTGGGGGTGGGGGGCAGTCAGGTAGGCTGTATGGGGCTCCATGATTTCTTACTGCAGCCCTGATCCTGCCATGCTTTCAGCAGTCAAAAATTTCATCGAGAGGCCCTTCCTTCCTTCTTTGGTAAACAAGAGAGGGAACAACAACATAGGTAATGGACTTGGGTTTTCTGTGCAGTATGGCCCTGGGAAGAGACAGAAATAGGAAATCTGTTTGTACCTATCTTATTGATTATTTTTACAGCATGCAGTCCACTGTAAACAACCACTGTTGGCTTCATTCTAGTCAGTGGAGCAAGGATCTGCATGTTTTGATCTGGTTAGGGTTTCCTAAGCTGGGTGATTGATCGCTCCTGCCTGTCTCTGGAGGGAGCTTGAGAATAGAGCTGGGAGGGCAAATCACTCAGTGATGAATATTTATCAGACCTCAGCCAATCGCTGGGAGAGGGCACCCAGAAGGTGGCTGAGGTAGGTGATAAATATTTGGAAGACTTTTCCAGAGTGTTCTTTCCTCTTCAGGGAGGGTTTCAATGCTCTTGGGACTGCTGCCCCTGGGAGGCAGCTAGTGTGTGATTTCAAGCCTTAGCAGGTGCTGAGTTGAGGGCCTAGAAATGGTTGTAACAATAGTAAAAGCGTTGGACTCTGGACTGTAGGCAAGTTTCAGAGAAATTAGCCTTTTAGGTTTGAAAATGACATCTTTCTGTATTGTCCCTTTCTGTGTGTATTTAAGCTAGATTATGGCGTCATGTACTTTGGTATATTTGCCCATAATCATTGTAGTGGAACTGTAAGGTAGAGCCACTGGCGGAGTGAAAAAACAGAATCCACAGGATGTGCAGAGTACTGGGAGAGAAAGGGTGATAATACAGTAAAGGTTTAAAATGACAGCTTAAATTTAAGCTAATCATAATTTTGGTATATTGCAATGGATGCAAATGTTAAAGTCCTTTAACCACCTTCCGCCCGCCCTATAGTAAAATGACAGGCGCAAGGTGGTTCTCTCGTTCTGATAGGACGTCATATGACGTCCTACCATTCTGACTGCGCATGCACGGCTCAGGGAGTGCGCAGCGCGGTGATCGCTGGTCCGCTGTGTCCCTCGGACACAGCGGATCACGGAAAGAGCAGAAGATGTCGGCTCGGTCATGTGATCAGCTGTGTCCAATCACAGGTGATCACATGTAAACATGGAAATGCCGGATATCGGCATTTCTCTCCTCTCGAGCTGTCACGCTGACAGCTCGAGAGGAGAGGAGAGCCGGTAATCGGCTTTCCGCGGAGGGGACATGTACACTGATCATCAGGGCACTGATGATCAGTGTGCCCTAATGATCAGTGTGGCCCCAGAAGTGCCACCTGTCAGTGCTCATCAGTGCCACGTGCCAGTGCCCATCAGTGCCATGTGTCGGCGCCCATCAGTGCCACATCAATGCCACATATCAGTGCATACCAGTGCACATCAATGCCACATATCAGTGCCCATTTGAGCTGCCTTTCAATGTCACCCATCAGTGCCACTTATCAATGCCTATCAGTGCTGCCAATCAGTGCCACCTATCAGTGCCAGTTAGTGTCGCCTATCAGTGCCAGTCAGTGCCAGTCAGTGCCGCCTATCAGTGCCAGTCAGTGCCGCCTATCAGTGCCAGTCAGTGCTGCCTATCAATGCCGCCTATCAGTGCCAAATATCAGTGTCATGTATCAGTACTGCCTTTCAGTGCCCATCAGTGCCACCTACCAGTGCCTCCTCTCATCAGTGCCCATTAGTGCCACCTATCAGTGTCCATCAGTGCAGCCTATCAGTGCCCATCACTGCAGCCTCATTAGCGCACATCAGTGAAGCAGAAAAATCACTTCTTTACAAAATTGTATAACAAAAACTAAGAAAAACTTTTTTTTTCAAAATTTTCAGTGGTTTTTGGTTTGTTTAAGAAAAAATAAAAATCCCAGAGGTGATTAAATACCACCAAAAGAAAAAAAAAGATAAAAATTTCATATGGGTACAATGTTGCATGACCGCGCAATTGTCATTCAAAGTGTGACAGCGCTGAAAGCTGGAAATTGGCCTGGGCAGGAAGGGGGTATAAGTGCCCTGTAGGCTAGTGGTTAAAATAAGGTGCTCAAAATACTGATATATACACATTGCTGATATATACATTGTTATATCTCACACTCAGCGATCCTTTGGCCACCACGTTTGATACTAGAGATGAGCGAAGAAATGAAAAATTCGATTCGACTGATTCGGCGAATTCGTGGACAATATTCGATTCGAGTCGAATAAATTCGCTGTGAATTTAACTTAAAAAAGGGTGTTTCTAGGCTTCAGAGAGACTTAATATTAGTGCAGAACACTGTACCTTTAATTTAAATGCCCTTGGAGTCTGCTGGGGAAGAGAAATAATACTGTCTGTCAGTATGACATGCAGATGAGTGCCGTCGATCTTAGAATCACTGCACACTTCACTCCTTTGGCCAGTCACGGGGCCAAAACCAGTGTTTGGAGCCACAGTGTGGCGGTGGAGGCAGCAGCAATGGGAGGCCATACAGCAACCTATGACAAAATGGAAACCAGCAGGAGCGTGAGGAGACCTGAAAGTGGCACATGGCAGAGTGGGAGCAATGGGAGGCGGTACAGGGACCCAGGTCACACTGTGGGCCCAGCAGCAGCGTGACCAGGCGGTACGGGGGCCCATGGCCGATATGGGGCTTGGTGGCACCTATGGAAGGCCTGTAATCTGCCAGCAACCTATGACAAAATGGACAACCGCAGGAGTGTGAGGAGATTTCAAAGTGGCACATGGCAGAGTGGAAGCAATGGGAGGCCGTACAGGGACCCAGGTCACACTGTGGGACCAGCATCAGCGTGAACAGGCGGTACGGGGGCCCATGGCCGATTTGACCTCATTCATCCCATAGTCCTGCCGACTCACGAATAGCGTGGCCTCCTCAAAGGGCCTGAGCAAGCGCAGGTGTCACACATGAGCTGACAATGGCTGACATCTAAGTTACACAGGGAGTACCTTTATCCGCTTTTAACATCAGGAAATCTGTGATGGCCTTTAGCTGTTCGTAAAGGCGGTCTAACATATGTAGGGTTGAATTACACCTTGTTGCAACGTCACAGCATGAGGAGTCGGTACGGGGGCCCATGGCAGATTACATGTCTGGCAGCAGCAATGGGAGGCCCGTAATCTGCCAGCACCCTATGTCAAAAAATTTAACACACCAGCAGTGTGAAGAGACCTGAAAGTGGCACATGGCAGCAGAGTGTGGCGATGGAGACAGCAGCAATGGGAGGCCGTACAGGGACCCATGAGAGACTCTGGACTTGGCAGCAGCATGAGGAGGCGGTATATAGGGGCCCATGGCAGATTAGGGGCCTGGCAGCAGCTATGTGAGGCCCGTAATCTGCCTGCACCCTATGTCAAAAAATTAAACACACCAGCAGTGTGAAGAGACCTGAAAGTGGCACATGGCAGAGTGTGGCGATGGAGACAGCAGCAATGGGAGGCCGTACAGGGACCCATGACAGACTCTAGACTTGGCAGCAGCATGAGGAGGCGGTATATAGGGGCCCATGGCAGATTAGGGGCCTGGCAGCAGCTATGTGAGGCCCGTAATCTGCCTGCACCCTATGTCAAAAAATTAAACACACCAGCAGTGTGAAGAGACCTGAAAGTGGCACATGGCAGCAGAGTGTGGCGATGGAGACAGCAGCAATGGGAGGCCGTACAGGGACCCATGACAGACTCTAGACTTGGCAGCAGCATGAGGAGGCGGTATATAGGGGCCCATGGCAGATTAGGGGCCTGGCAGCAGCTATGTGAGGCCCGTAATCTGCCTGAGCAGCATGAGGAGGCGGTTTATAGGGGCCCATGGCAGATTAGGGGCCTGGCAGCAGCTATGTGAGGCCCGTAATCTGCCTGCACCCTATGTCAAAAAATTAAAACACACCAGCAGTGTGAAGAGACCTGAAAGTGGCACATGGCAGCAGAGTGTGGCGATGGAGACAGCAGCAATGGGAGGCCGTACAGGGACCCATGAGAGACTCTGGACTTGGCAGCAGCATGAGGAGGCGGTATATAGGGGCCCATGGCAGATTAGGGGCCTGGCAGCAGCTATGTGAGGCCCGTAATCTGCCTGCACCCTATGTCAAAAAATTTAACACACCAGCAGTGTGAAGAGACCTGAAAGTGGCACATGGCAGCA